ACTAAACTGATGTCTGCCTACGGGACACCTCAAGTCATCGAGAGCGACTAAGGGACTCATTTTACTGGTGCAACGATACAGCGCTGGGCAGAAGAAAATAACATCGAATGGCGATTCCACCTGCCATATAATCCAACAGGGGCAGGCCTCATCGAATGTTATAATGGTATTCTTAAGGCTGCCCTGAAGACAGACTCCCAGTCCCTGCAGGGGTGGACGAAAAGACTGTGTGAAACCCTGTGGGACCTGAATGAAAGACCTCGAGACGGCAGACCGAGTGCCCTGAGAATGTTGCAGATGACATGGGCCACCCCGCTTAGGATCCAAATTACGGGCACTGATCATCAGGGAAGACCCCAGATTGGTAAAGAAAATAATCTTCTGCTCCCTGCCCCTGAGAATTTATATCCGGGTACCCGTAAAATAAAATGGCCCTGGAAGGTGCAGGTAGGACCCAAGTGGTGCGGCCTACTTGCACCTTGGGGGAGACTATTGGAGGTGGGAGGCTCAGTAGTCCCTCCAGTAATAGGTACATGGCCTACTGATATGTGGTCAACACTCCGATCTTCATTGCTAAACGTACCCCCATCATGTCCTTGTGGCAGATCAGGGCACTCCCGTTTGGTGCCTGATATTGTTATGCAGCTGCAGACATCCGGCCAGAAGGTGTGGTACAGGCGGCCAGGACGTGCCCCCGTACAGGCGGAAGTGTTGACCCAGGATAGGAATACGGCCTGTATCTTGCCCTGGAGAGCAGACCTCCCCTCCTGGTACCTGTGAAGCATCTGTATTATGCCCTGTGAGTCTGTGAGCCTTCAGGACCACCGGAAGGAACAAAGTGCCATCAAGTGTTCCAGTGTTGCTGTCAGATCACGTACAACACCTGGTGATGGTCTGCATGGGACTGATGGAACATAGAACGGACCTGCACCTCAGGACCTCATGCTTCCAGTGACATCATCGAGCACTGGCCCATAGAAGAGTATGGACATCCACTGATCATCACTCATCTTGAATTGTACCAACACACGTTGCAATAAAATTGTACAAGCGTCGCGATATACCGGATCTCTGTATTAGGGAAAGCTTACCCTTTAGTTAACCTGATCATTGGTTCATGCTGTGAAGGGGTGGAGTGTATGGGAACTGCTGAGTCATGGCCTGAACCTCTGATTGATCACCTGAGGAGAGCCATGAGTCAGCCAGAGGAGCACAGGTGAAGGCAATTCACCTGTGCTGCTGGAAGGGGGGGAGCCAGGCTCCACCCCTCCTGGACCTATTTAAGAGCTGGCTCTCAGTGGGGAAGGATCTCTTCTGGAGATTGCCTCCTCTGGTGTGTTGTAGGTGAGTCCAGCATAAGGGTAAGCTTTCTGTTTATTCTCTTTTGTCTTTATTGTCCTCTTTGCCTAGCTCTGTTGATTATATTGTGATTGTAACTTCTTGATATCCATTGATTATACACCCTGGCACCCTTTCCTCCAGCACACCAGTGAGTCACTCCACCAGTCAATCTCCTGCTCACACTCCCTGATGGCCTTTAGCCTATCCACCTTCTTCTTGAGTTTCACCACCAGGCTGAGCAGCTCACCTGCTCACACCTCACACTGGTGGAATCTTTGTCACCCTTCCCTGGCAGCAGCAGGTTCAGGTTCTCCCTGTAGCTAGAGACCTGAACAGCCACATTTCTGGGCAGGCCTTCTGTCTGCGTTGCCACGGTCGTCTTTGAGCAAGCCCGCTGTCTTGTAGAGACCGTGTTTAGGCCTGTGGTCTTAGAGACCGCCAAAAAGAGAGCTGGTCTCCTGCGCAAAGAGGGACAACACTTACACACCCTGCCACTTGACCCACCTCCCACATCTGCAGCTGTAGTACTGTATGGGCAGCATAGGCTGTACTCATTCACTGATGTCTCTTCCCTGTTTTCAGTGGCCAGTAAGTGGTTACTTACCTGGTGTGCTCTGTGGGAGTAAGCTAGTTTCCACCCTCCCCAGGGCTATTTAAAGCTTATCACTATGTGTCAAGGTTAAAGGTGGGTAGTGCCAGCTCTGCCCCTGCTCTCTCAGTAGCCTACTTACAAAGCTGCCAACCCCCCAGCACAAGTACAGCACTTCAAAGAAGCCTTAAAAAAGAACTGTACTGTACTACTGTACTGAGTAGTACTGTATGGGCAGTGTGGGCTGTACTCTCACAGACTTACCTTCCCTGTTCTCTTCGTATTTTCTAAGTGGGCTCGCAACTTCATGTATCTTTAGGTTTTCAGCATTTTTTTCCAGACCATTGCTGCCAGAGTGGTGCTATATAATGATGGTGCACTGTGCGCAAATTTCCACCATATAGATCACAGGCACCTTATGCTTTTTGGATCGTGGGATACGTTATCAGTGTCCAGGTCAATATCATTCATCTCTAGTATAGCTAGTCATCTCAGGTTCTGGGTGCCTTTGTCCATGGTAGTCCACCTACCTGGGAGAAATACTGGGTTTTCTAGGAAGATCTTTCCTTCACAGCTGAGAGAAGTGACTTCCATAGAGTGAAGGCTCCTGTCCCTTTTCTGATTCCTTTGTCAATTCCACTTTCCCTAGAGATGGATCCCAGCTGCTTAACTTCACTTTCTTCTAAGTCCAGGCTACTGACACCATTATTTCAGCATGGGAACAATTAGATGACTATGTTTACCTGGGTGATGGCTGAAGTCTTTCCACATATCTTAGTTTATTCAGTTAGGAGTTAAATGGTTATGTGTTTTGACTCTTCCTCCTCATGTTCTTGTGACAGCCCTACTTCAGCTTCATCTTGTTCTTCTATCCTTGGTTAAGCAGAAATTGCTGTCCTTACTAATCAATTTGAGTTTAGTAGTTGTTTCTTTATCTTGTATAAAGGAATAAATAACACCAACTGTAATAATTGGACAGATCAGTACATTAGGAAAGGTGTTACTACGAAGGTATTATGACAGATAGACCAGCATATTAGAAAGGTGTTATAAAGGAAGGAAAGAAGATTGCTTACCCACATCAAAAGATTCTCGGTTCACAGGAGAAAACTTCACTAATTTCCAGTCAGCCCTTAAATGAGGTCTAAGAGAGGTACAGGCATGCTTCATCCCTTCTGGTCACACAGGTGAATTGCCTTCACCTGTGCTCCCAGGGCTGCTTGGTCCTTTCCCCAGGTGCTCAATCAGTGGTTCAGGCTGTGACTCAACAGTTCCCATACACTGATACAGACTGAGTTCTTCAGTTTAATCACAGAACCATGGCAGGCATTGGAGCAACTATAGGGCCCCTTACATTGTCATCAAATCTGGTGACCTCTTCCCCTTGAGAGTGAATGAAGGCATGTATTATAGAGAGTAGTTTTCCAGTGGGTTTTGTATTTATCCTGTCAACATTGAAATGTTCTTAGGCAGGTGGTGTCAGCAAGGATTTAGAGAGTCCTTTCTGGAAGTTGTACTGGTCTGGGAAGAGACATCGCAACCTTTTCCAGGCTTGGGTGCAAATCCAAGATTATGTGGTAACAGGCATTTTTTTTTTCTGTTGCAGCATCCAGTCCTGCCCTGATGTGAAATATGGCAAACGTATCCATGTGCTGCCAATTGATGACACAGTAGAAGGGATCACGGGGAATCTGTTTGAGGTCTATCTCAAGCCATACTTCCTGGAAGCATACAGACCCATCAGAAAAGGTAATAGCACCTGTTATAGAAGTTCTAACGGTAATGATTGTGGTCTAGTTCTGAGACTGAGTAAAGGAGATTTCTAGGGACTTGCACAGATCTCTGCAAAGCATCAGACTGGCATCTGTAGAGTGAAATTCTGATGGTGCTGATTTTTTTTTTTTTTTCTGGATTGGATGAGAGTGTATTAGAAAAGGCTTATGTAGAACTTATGATAAAATCTTGTTAAATTAAGTTGCTACTACTTGACGGGATTGGGTGTTTACGTGTGTGTTAATCAATTGGTTAGATATATACCAGCTGGCACCCTGATTAAATTCACTTCTTCAAAGTAATTGAATTAATAACTAGGAGAGTGCTTAGAAAGCAAAATGTGTTTTTAGAGCTGTATTAGGAGTAGCTCTGCTGGAACAAGTAGGTCCTAATAAAGTATAAGCACTAATTGAATCAAGTCTTCCAGCTTCTTTAGGTGAGTTTAGCCAGGAGTCATAGTGCAGTATTATATATTATTCTGCTTCTGAAGATAAGCTGTTCTAGCTAATAGGGACTTATAATAAATTCAAAATTAGTTTTTATTATGTTAGTACGTTTTGTCTCTTCCCTGGTTGCTTCTGGCTAAAATTTCTCCTATCTTATGACTTTTCACTTGTGATTGCGCTATTTACTGTCCCTGGGCTACACACTGAGAGTAAGCAGCTCTTATAAATTGATAGGTAGTTTCTGAAGGAGACAAGAACAGCATGAGTATCTTACTGTTGGACTCTATTTTCAGCCTGTTTCAAAAGATTAGGGACTACTTGGACCTCGGGCAGGTTTGTGACTAGATGGCTGATCAAACACAAATTGTAAACCAATTAGAACTTTTTTTAAAAAAAACAATACCTGAATTATTTTTAGAAAGCTGTTTTTTGTGAATAAAAAGTGTTCTAGAACAGTTAAATTGAATCCAAATGGATAATGTGGTTCATTGCTTTTAATTATTTGGTATTTAGGCAGAGTATTCTTTTCTCTTATTTGCTGTTTGATTCTGGATGAAATTTGATAAGTTTTAATTGCTACAGGTCTAAATGATGCCCTGGTTGTCCCAGTACATGCAACTCGAGTTTAAAACACAGAGCAATATTAAAAATACCAGGGGCACATGCATGTGTAACCTACTTCCTTGTCCTTTGGGGCTGCTGGTAGTATAGGGGTTGATGTTTTGCAGATGTCAGTCGCAGTAGGTTATTAAAAATGTGAGATTTTATAGGTGACATCTTCTTGGTGCGAGGAGGGATGCGTGCAGTGGAGTTCAAAGTGGTGGAGACAGATCCAAGTCCTTACTGCATAGTGGCTCCAGACACAGTAATCCATTGTGAAGGGGAGCCCATCAAACGAGAGGTGAGCAGAATCCTGTCACTTGGTTCTTCTACTGAATCCACTCTGTCTAGTGACATCTGTTTCTACGACAGTGTTTGCAGTTCCTGGTTTGACGTTTTGTTTGTAGAATGTAGTGGTTAGAAGCTCTGGCTTCAGGGGATGAGCTGCTCCTGACAGTAGTCAGAGAAATTTGCTGCCAGTATCCTTCCTCAGATGTTGAGATAACACTGATGCTTAGGTTTGTTAAGGAGCTGCTGTAATTTGGTAGCAGCTGGTTTTATATCTGCTTCCTGATATCTTGTGCTGGAAATTGAATGGAATTTATGGACATTAAATGCATCATTTAATTCCAAAGTTCCCTTGATCCACAGCAGGGAGGGCTTAATGTTCTGCTAGATTTCATGCCATATGAAGAGAAAGCAATTAATGCTTTTTCAGTGAGAAACTTGATTTCCAAATAATTTATTTTATTTTTATTTCAATCCCTTAAAGTATTTAGCCTTGAGTATCCCAAGTTTAATGCAGACTGTGTGGCTTGTCTGTCAGGAGTTGGGCACTTTACTTTTTATAAACAGTAGGAAATCTCAGAGATATGGGATAAAGGTGGCTGGTATGCCTCATGAAGTGACTGCTTTTTTTATTTTTATTTATTTATTTATTTTGACTACCCACAAGTCAGAGAGAGCGCTGGTTTGTAGTTAGCTACCTTCTGAAAAATTCACCTCAACAGTTGTGAGGCATCAGGGAATCTTGCGCTCTTCAGGACACAGCAGAGGTAGACAGGAACAAATTCCTCCAAACAAGGAGGAGTTGAAGGTCAGAATAAACAAGAGGCTGGGAGAATGGGTTTATGCAGCCTAGAGAAGGGAAGGTGAAAGGGCAGGCTTATTGATATCCACCTGGTGGAGAGTTGTGACTGGGGATGAGACTAGAGGCAATGGCACAAGCTGGCTCAAGAGAAATGCCCAGTAGGTATTAGGAAAAAGGTTTCCCTAAATCTTAGGCAGGGCCCAGAGAGGTCAGGAATCTCTAAGACTGAAGACCTTCAGTGCTTTTTAGGTACAGACTGAGCAGCCCACTTGAAGTAATAGTCCTGGCTTTGTAGGGTTTTGGTCTGAGTCCCTCTGAGATTCCAGGCTATTTTATGATTTTAGTTTTGCCTGATGTTATGGATAACTAAGATCAGTAGAGATTTGCACAGATGTGAGCTGAATGAATACTGTAGGGCTGTATTAGAAGAATTAGTTACAGCTGGTTTTATCTGCATGTCTGAATCTCAACATTCTCTTAGTTCGAGTCAATCCCAAAAGAAAACACTATGTCTGAGAACTGCATGATAGCTAGGATATTTCATGCAGTTACAAATATCACTGACAGTTTAAGGACTAAGTAGATTTTATACTGGATTTCATTGTCTGTTTTTCTGTTACCTGCAGAGGATCACACAGTTTTGTGCTAGAGTCTGTAGGGAACCTGGTAGTAGAGTCTGTTATTCAGGAGGGTGGGTTCCAGTGAGGACTAGGTACATGCAGGCAATTACCATTGTACGTCTGGGAATCAGAGCTAAGAAACAATTGTAGAAGACATGAAGACGACTTGAAAATGAGAATCTCAGAACAGCAAAGAAATGACACCAAACAAAAGCCCAGATTCCTGGTTCTGTGAATCAGGAGGAATTATTGACCTACTATTTTCACTCAAATGTCTAATAAATTTCCTTCTTGGTAGGATGAAGAAGAGTCATTAAATGAGGTGGGCTATGATGACATTGGTGGCTGCCGAAAGCAGCTGGCTCAGATCAAAGAGATGGTAGAACTTCCTCTCCGACACCCTGCGCTCTTCAAGGCCATAGGGGTGAAGGTAAGCACCTGTGTGTAACAGGTGGATGAGTGATTTTACCTTTATTGATGCTTCTAGATGTAGGAAGCTTACTTACTGGATGGGAATAAGTAACTTTTGAATTCATTTTTTTGAATACTGGTGTTAGGAGAGTATTTTTTACATGTTTTAGTCACAGATTAAAGTACTGACATTTGTAAAGTAGAGCAGCATTCTGAGTCAGTGTTGCCATAATTGGCAAGGTTTTTGTTTGTGTCATGCAATGTGCATGTTGATGGTAGGATGGTAGCTGTTGCATGAGCTTACATCTCAATTTTGGACTGACTTTATCAAATGCTTGGAATTTCACTGTGAAGCTACTTAAGCATTCAGATACTAGCTTACCACCTAAGTCCCTTGTCTCTGACCCCAGCCTCCACGTGGAATCCTGTTGTATGGTCCCCCTGGCACTGGAAAAACTTTGATTGCCCGAGCAGTGGCCAATGAAACTGGGGCTTTTTTCTTCCTGATTAATGGTAAGTTTTGTCTTACTTGGACCCAAATCTTCTGTGTAGTCATTGATCTAGCTACTGGTAGTGAATGGTTTAGATAAGGCTTATGTAGTCACATTGTTTCCTTGATATCCATCCTTCCTTCTTTCCGGAGCCTCTTTGGAGATGTTTAGAGACCATTTGTGTAAAAGCATCTGTAGTGGCACTGTCCTTAAGCTTGATTGTTTTGTAGCAGTGGTTGAAAGATAGCTTTGTGATGGGAGAACTCTGAGTCTGTCTAGTTGGGTGTTCATTTATGTTGATGAGGCAGGGCTAGGAGTGAGGCAGTGAGGTTATTCTACATACATGGGCTTGCCTGCTTGTTTCTGTTGTTGCTGACATCTTTTATTCAGAAAAGAAGCTGATCTGTATTGCATTTCTTTTTCCTTCAAGTAAAGCACAATGCCTGTTTTGTTTCACATAATATTAATTGGCAGGAACTTTCCTGAAAGCTATAACAAGTACTTTGGAACTTAGCTACAATACTCTCTGTTAGAGTGTTTTGATGTTGTTGAGCATGGGGCTGGGAATGATAAGGTTGAATCTCCATGGGTAAGGATACAACAAGGCTGACAGACTGGTGGGGGTCTGTTATAGACGGCCTAACCAGGACAAAGAGACAGATGAGGTGTTCTGTGATCAGTTGGCAGAAGTTGTGTAATCGCCAGCCCTTGTTCTCATGGGGGACTTCAACTTCCCTATTATATACTGTTTCTTTGTCCTTCCTTGAGCCCAGCTCCCATCTCTCTATCCCTTTTTCCTTCTCGTTTTGTGAAGCTGGGGGGGGCCCAGGGGCCTACTACCCCCTGTCACGGGCACAGATAAATCTAGTATCTGTATCATATCTGGCACAGCAGCACTCAATGAGGGTGTGACTTCATTCAGGCCACGGTAGTCCACTGTCAGCCTCCATTCTCCACTGGCTTTACGCACTGGCCATATGGGACTGATAAAAGGTGAGTGAGTTTTGCTGATCACTCCCTGATTCTCTAGCTGACGAATTAACTTATGAATGGGGAGCAAGGAATCCCTGTTGGTGCGGTACTGTCGCCTGTGCACTGTTTTTGTAGCAATTGGTACCTGTTGCTCTTTTACTCGTAGCAAACCCACAACAGACGGATCTTCTGATAGGCCAGGCAAAACAGACAGCTGCTTAACACCTTCTGTGTCCACAGCAGCTATTCCAAAGGCCCATCGATACCCTTTGGGATCCTTGAAATGCCCCCTTCTGAGATAATCAATACCTAGTATACATGGAGCCCCTGGGCCAGTCACAATAGGATGTTTTTGCCAGTCCTTACCAGTGAGGCTGATTTCGGCCTCCAACATAGTCAGCTATTGGGAACCCCCAGTCACCCCATGAATATAAATTGATTTTGTCCCTTGGTGCCTCGAGGGCATTAGAGTGCGCTGTGCACCAGTATCCACCAGGGCCTTATATTTCTGTGGTTCTGATGTGCCAGGCCATCTAATCCATACAGTCCAATATACTCTATTATCCCTTTCCCCCCCCCGGCTGGGGGCAGGGCCCCTCTATTTGTTACCTCTGTTGTCTACAGCAACTGGAGCTATCACCTTTTTGGAGAAGTTCACCTTGGTGGTTGATTTGTCTTGCAATTCTTTTACCTGTGCTTGAAGTGCAGGAGTAGGTTGTTTATGCCACTTCATATCTTCTCCATGGTCACGTAGGTAATGCCACAAGGCAAAACGTGACGCAGTCTTACTGTTGTCACTTGTTCAAGCAGGAGGCCGTCTTCTTTTGATAGCTGAGACATTGGATGACACTGGCTGGGAGGAAATCAAGTTGATCAGCCCCTCAAGTAGGCTGTTTTGGGAATTCTGTTCCTCATCGGATGTATCTCTTACCACCATGGATTCATCAGCATCAGGCACGATTGATAGTTTGTCAATTATATCTTCTTGTTTGTTCTCCATTCTATCCAGCTTTTCTGCTACTTTTTTAATGGCTGAAACACAAGCTCGTAGAGGGCTTAAATGTAACTCAAAGTCTTGAAGTTTATCAATCAGTTCATTTATAAGGGGTCTTCTTTCCCCCCTGCCATACATTGCTGCAAATGTACTGGCGTACCTTTCTGGTGCAGTCTTTGTGAATGTAGGCCACATGTTTGGTGTACACCTGGCTCTCTCAGGATCATGCTCTTGGTCTGGCTCATCAGGAATGAAATCGGGGCTATGTAGCGTTTCCACCACAGCACATTCTCTCAAATAACGGATGCCTTCTTCCATATCAGTCCATTTCTTCTTCTCAGGCATCAGATCGTCTTTGAAGGGGGGTATCTTTCTTTTACAGCTAACAACATCCGCTTCCAGAGGGTGAAGGCCTGGTTCTGGCATGTACTAATACCTCTGTCAATGGCTGAGTCCCTAGCAATGCCACCCAGTTGGCGAGCTTCTCTACTATCTAGCCACACACTGTTGGCCCCATTGTCCCAGCATCGAAGTAACCAAGTGTCAATAGGCTCATTTGGGTGGCGTGAGAAGTCTTTTCTCAGACTGCGAATTTTATTCATTTTCAGAGATTGATCAACAAGGGTAACGATATCTTGCTCACCTCTTGCTCTTCCGGGGCTTCTTGCCCTTGTAGGCGTTGGTGACCGTGGCCTTACTGAGGGCCCCTCCCCTGGTCTCAGAGGTGCTTCTCTTGGACCTCGGAGCCACTCCTCTGGACCTCTTTCCTCCTCTTTCTTCTGTTCTAACTGAGTAGAGATTCGCTTTGTTTTCTGTCCTCTTACAGGGGCGACTGACATCGATTGTGGTGCCTCCTGTGGTTGATCAGGTTGGTCAGTTCCAATGCTCTCATCCTCCAGCTCAGGTTGGAGCCTGTCTCGTTCGATTATGACAGTATCTAGCTCAGATTGGAGGGTGTCTTGTTGAGATTGAAGATTGTCGAGTTTGGATTGCAGGGAGTCTCTCTCAATTCGGAGGGCATCTCTCTCAGATCGGAGGTTTTTCCTCTGGAGCAGGAGACTCTCTCGCTCATTTTGAACTGTTTCCCTGAGACTCTCCTTTTCAATTTCACAAGCGCGTGCGCTTGTACTGAATAAGGCCCGATAAGCATTAGCCAGGCCCCAAATCACTTGTACCTCCTCAGAACTGCCCAAGCCGCAACATTGCTGCCTCAAATAGCTGTTTAGACTCTCGGGGTCTTTGAGGTGTTCTGAAGTGAAATTCCGTGACACTGAAGATTTCCATTTGTGTGAAGTCTCTCCCAGACCTCTCCACACTCCCTGCCACTCAGTATTCTCCGGTTTTGGGGAGGACATCCTCAAAATATAATAAATACTAATACTGAGCGAAATGATGAGCAATACATTCAGGGAGATTAACAGTGCAACTAGGTGATCATTCAAAAACTGCATAACAGGTTGAAAGGAGAGACTGGAAACCTTAAAAATACCCAGTCCTGTAAAATTGACAGCTGTCTCAGGAATTGTATGCCTCATTGTACGAACATGCCAGGTCCATATTTCCACCCATGTTTTCAATTGATTGTATATGCCTATTGCTCCGTAGAGTATGTTTTGAGCATTAGGAAAGAAGCAGCAGTAGCATGCAGCTCTTTTAAAGTCAGTTTCACAAGAGAAAGCATTTTTTTTTCCTTTTCGTTTTTTTACAGAGGCAAGATAGCAAAGCTCAGAGTTTGCAAATATCCTAGGATATTGGCAATCTGCCTGGAGTTTTCAAGGTCACGTTTTCAAAGAGTAGCGGTGAAACAGATAAGCTTTCCCTATGAAGCTCTCCGAGTGCAGAGAGATTTGTTCTAAACAGCTAGAAAGCAACTGTTGCCTGCATTCTCCACCAAAGAATGTCGATGGTTTACGGGCTGGTTCAGCTCGGTTCCGTGACCAGCATGGCGGAGGGATCTGTGGATCCGTGCCTCCGGGAAAGGGGAAACAGGGGACCCCAAAATACTTGAAAACAACAGCGATAATCTGAGGTGGAACAAATGATTTACTAAATA